CCTTCCCTGAGGTGACACAGCAATCCTGACCTTCCCTGAGGGGACACGGCAATCCTGACCTTCCCGGGGGTGACACAGCAATCCTGACCTCCCCAAGGTGACACGGCAATCCTGCCCTTCCCTGAGGTGACACAGCAATCCTGACCTCCCCAAGGTGACACGGCAGTCCTGCCCTTCCCCAGGCCCAGCTGGGCCCTCCCTGAGCAGCAGCAGCGAGCTGCAGAGGGGTTTAATCCCAAATAGCCAGGGGCAGGCAGGCAGCAGCACAGCAGTGGCAGAGCCCGGCAGCTGGAGCATCCCCATCTCCATCCTTGCCCTCACAGGGATGACAGCTGGAATTTACAGCAGCCACAGAACAGGGGTGACCATTCCTGCCATGTGCTGGCACCCTGAAAGCTGCACGAACCCTCCAGGAGACAGAGTGCTGACCCACACTGCAGGAGGGAGCTCCCTTAGGAAAATGGAGATCTCCCTAAATCGTGTAATTGTGCCCAGAAACTCCAGTGTGGTGTGCAGTTTCAGGGAGAATCAAATGAACTAGATAGAGTAGCTACAGAGTAAATGGACTGTAAAATCATAGCTGAAAGAAGGACAAAACAAGGCAAGTCAAGCATTCTGCATTATTTAATTTATTCTACTTAGTGATTCTGTGGCATTATAGTAGCACACTAATAGGCCTGCAACCATAAACACTGGATCTGGGCTTAATTTACTCTTTGCAGTCTTTGTTTTGGATCATTTGGGATAAAGCCTCACATCTATCTCAATGCAACCAAGGAGCTCCCATTCCAATAGGGAATGCCTGCCCTGCTAAGGCAGCCCAACACAAAAAACAAAAGGATAAATCACAAAAATTACCAGGAGAAAATAAAAGTCTTCTAATTGGAGGAAAGACTGAAAATGAAATGCAGCATCTCATCTGACGGAGGGCAGTAAAATGCAGGCAAGGCATGTAAACAATGGGAGGCACAGAGGGTTTTCCTGCCTTCCCGCTGCTACCCCAGGGAATGTTGTCCCAGTGTCCTGCTCATACAGAAGTGCCTTTCCAGGCCAGCCCCGGGCAGCCACGCAGCCGTGAGCTGCTGGCAGTGCCTGTGCTTGCACTGCAGCCCCGCAGGAGGCACTCTGTGCTCACACATCCACCCGAGCTCTCTGCCGGCAGGCACCAACAGCAGCCGGGGCAGCCCTGAAACCCACAGCCACCCTCTCCCAAACCCACTTTGCTGCACACAGGAGCCCACAGGGTGTCCCTTCCCTGTGGCAGCCTGGCACGGAGCCCCCCAGCCCTGCCCTGGGCTTTTGGCAGGATATCCCTGCTGTTAACCAGGGAATGCTGCGGGGCTGAGGGACAGGACAGAGCAGGAGTCTTTTGATGTCCAACACACACCCCAGCGGGTTTCTGAGGCTGGGGTGCACCTCCAGGCTGTGCCCCATTCCCTGACCACGGTTCCTGCCTGCACTGTGCCCCTTTGGCCACTCATGCCAAGCACCCTGGCCAGCCCCAGCAGCCCGGGTCACAGAGCTGCCAGGGCAGCTCTCCATCAGCAGAGTGCCAGGGTCAGCACAGGCCAAGGGCTGCAGCAGCCTGGGGACAGCAGCCTTTGGAACAGCTTTTGGCAAGGGCCAGCTGCTGAATAAGCTCTGCAAGGCCGTGTGAGCCTCGCCAAGAGAGCTCTGAAGGTGCTGCTGAGAGCTCTGCGCACACCAGTGGCTCTGCAGAGATGAGGATTTCTCACCCCTTGTGGTCCCCATGCTCCAGCTCACACTGTGGGTGGGCTCCAGCTGCCTGTGCAGCAGGGAGGCAGCGCATGGGAGATGCGGTGCTGTGCACCGCATGGGAGATGCAGTGCTGTGCAGCGCATGGGAGATGCAGTGCTGTGCAGCGCACGGGAGGTGCAGTGCTGTGCACCGCATGGGAGATGCAGTGCTGTGCAGCGCATGGGAGGTGCGGTGCTGTGCAGCGCATGGGAGGTGCGGTGCCGTGCAGCGCATGGCAGATGCGGTGCCGTGCAGCGCATGGCAGATGCGGTGCCGTGCAGCGCATGGCAGGTGCGGTGCCGTGCAGCGCATGGCAGGTGCGGTGCCGTGCAGCGCATCGCAGGTGCGGTGCCGTGCAGTGCATGGCAGGTGCAGTGCCGTGCAGCGCATGGCAGGTGCAGTGCTGTGCAGCGCATGGCAGATGCAGTGCTGTGCACCGCATGGGAGGTGCAGTGCTGTGCACCGCATGGGAGGTGCAGTGCTGTGCAGCGCATGGGAGATGCGGTGCTGTGCAGCGCATGGGAGGTGCGGTGCTGTGCAGCGCATGGGAGGTGCAGTGCTGTGCAGCGCATGGGAGGTGCGGTGCTGTGCAGCGCATGGGAGGTGCAGTGCTGTGCAGCGCATGGGAGGTGCGGTGCTGTGCAGCGCATGGGAGGTGCAGTGCTGTGCAGCGCATGTGTGTGCTGCGCAGCATGCAGTGCTGTGCTGGCCTCAGCTGGAGAAGCTGCACTGCAGCAGACCCTGCTCTGCCTTGGGACAGGCTGGCAGCCTGGCTGTGCCTGCTGCCCCAGCCGAGGGCAGGAGCACTGAGATGTTTTCAGTGTATTTACGTGGCAGTGACTGAGCTGGGAGGGCTCTGGGGAGCGTTTTACCTTTCTTGAAAGCCAGGCCCGTCTCCTTGACGCCGTTCACGTAGAGCCGGCGAACCCCCTCCTCTTCCACCGAGGACAGAGAGAAACCTGGGGAGACAGCACGAGTGCTCAGAGGGAGCCAGCCCCTTCCAGGCTGTCCCAGCCACCTGCCCTGCAGCCCAGGCTGTGCTGTGAGCAGGCAGGAATCCCTCCCCTCTCCCTCCCCTCAAGCCTTTACAAACACAAAGGCAAGCCCAGCAAGGAACATGGCTCTAACAGAAACCTGAGCTGAATTTCTGAGTGCATACACCAGTTATCTGCAGACATGTTTGAGGACACCACAGCTGCAAAGCCTTGGAACAGACCCCCAGCTCTCTTGCCATCAAAGGTCACTCCAGGAGGTTCTGCTGTTTGCAGACCAAAGCTGCAGAGCTGTGGTTTGGGACAAAGTTGGGAATCCCAGAGGCACGGCTGATGTGCCACCCCCAACTCAGGCAGGGCACAACACCCCTGCTAGAACAGAGTGCTGACCTCTGCTTTTTGAGATCCATGTGTGTAAAAATGCCCCTTTCCCTTTGCCCCCTCTGCTGGCACACCCTGCCATGGGCCAAGTCTCTGGCACACGTTTCATGCTCACCAGAGACCTGCAGAGCACTCCTGGAGTGGAAGTGCTGCCACAGCCTCATGCTAAACACTGCAAATGGGACTGGGAGCTTTGGCCTGGGGGATTTGGGGATTTTCCTGCCTTTTGTGGGTGACACAGTAAGATAACAACTGAAAAGGAAACACAACTGCCAAGTGAAATGCAGGTTGTTTATTTACTGTGGAGAGTTATCTAAAGCAGAACATTTGCCTTTCTGAAACTTCATTACTCCCCAAATGAGTGCAGGCAACCATTTGCTCTCTCTTTTTCTAGAGGCTAGAAAAACATTTACAAACCTCTGGGGGGAGTCGTTTGTTTTGACATGGAATCAGCCACCAGCCAAGCGGTGCAGATGTGCTGGGAGCCTATCCTGACTTTAGGACTCCTTTCAAACTGATCCTTATGGCTGAGAGTTATTTTTTCATCCATGATTTAAAAATAATATTTAAAAAAGGAAGAAGAAAAGAGGGGGAAGAACGTGGCAGCTCAGAAGTGAGAAGCATATGGCCTTTCATGACTTACTGAGCTACTTGGAACCTGCCTGCGAGCTACTGGGGCTGAACCAAGTGAAATTGGTGAAGCTCACTCCACACTCCAGCTCTGGCACAGAGAAGAACCCTCCACTAAAAGAGCAGCTGTAAAACAGAGTAGTTATTGGCTGTCATCACCACAGAGCCTACCTGGAAAACCCTGGAAGAACAGCAGAGTGTGCCCAAGGCTGCAGTTTGAGTCAGCACAAAGCACCAGCTCCTAAGAGCCCTTTTCCACTGAAATGCTGTTTTGGGCCAAACTCCACACATCAAAAGCAGGCTGAGGGGCAGCTCAGGCTCTCACTGGGGGGAGAGCAGCATGCCCAAGCAGCCCAAGCTCCATCTCTCCTACAAGGAAAGGCTGAGAGAACTGGGGTTGTTCAGCCAGGGGAAGAGAAGCTTGGGGAATGCAGCTTTCCTGGAGGGAGCCCACAGAAGGATGGAGAAGAGACTTATGACAAGAAGTGACAGGATGAGGGGGAATGGCTTCAAACTGAAAGAGTGGGCACCCTCCAGGAGTGCCTCTCACTGCCCCAGACACACTGCTGGGAGCAGAAACTCCACAGAATGCTCCCAGGTGAGCTCTCCCTGAATGTGGTGCTGGAATGAGGTGATCTTTAAGGCCCTGTCCAGCCCAAAGTGCCCCAGGACTGTGTGATTTCAGCACACACTCGTCACTGGATGAGCACACAAGGAGACACATACAGACCACAGAAATCCTTCTGAACCACACTTGGCTGTTCCCTCAATGAGAGAAAGGTCAGCTTTTTTGGGGTGCTTTGAGCAGTCCCTGCTGCAGGGTCAGAGCACTGCCCAGCTCCATCCCACACCTCACAAGCTGATCTCATCTCACAGGACATCACAGTGCATTTCACTTTTTTTTTTTTCCCATTTCTTTTTCTTCTTAGAAAAAAAGAAGAAAAAGAAATAAACAGGAGAGTCCCAATTCTTGCAGTGCTTTTAGGCACTGCATAAATATGAACCCTGAACCACCACTGGGCTGGTGAATATTTCTTTCTTAGGCCTTCAGTATTCCAGCCCCAGTCAGTCCCACTGCTTTGTAGCACAGCTCAATATTCCAACGGCCTGCAGCTGTATAATAAACAGTTTGGGGATTCAGAATTATTCTAGTCATTAAAGCAGAATATTTAGATAAACAGCAAAAATATGCAGATTGGCTTCCTGAGGGGGGGTTGCACAGATAACTCTAACATCCACTCCAGACTGTAATTGCCAGGCCAAAGGGCAAACTCACCAGGCTGGGGGGCTGGAACCTGAAATACCTGAAAGCTGATGAGTATGAGCTGCACAGAGCTGAGAGATTCTGCTGAAATCACACGGGGGGCTCTCCCCTGCTTGGTGTTTCACACAGCTCTGCCACGTGTCAGGTCCTGGCTCAGGTGTCACATCCTCGAGGGCTGCAGCATCCCTGGGACACCCTCGGGCCCTGGAGCCCACCTTGGGTGCCCCTGGCAGTGAGAAGAAGCCCAGCAGCCTCTCTGGAGCTGCCTGGCCACAGGACTCAGTGCCTTGTGCCCCCAGCGATGCTCCCGAGGAGGGGGCTAGGAGGAAGCAGTGAGGAGGAGGAGGAGGGGAGCTGCAGGGCCCTGCAGGCTCCTGTGAGATGTGACAGCTGGCAGAGGACGCTGCTCCCACCCACAGCCTCCGGGGGTGGCTCTGGAGCAAGGACAGCACCAAGCAAACGCTGATCCTCTGCACATCCTGCAGCTCCAGCCTCCTTCAGAGCACCCCGAACAAAGCTGCCCCCCTCCAGGGCAGCTGAATGCTGCTGTGGGTGGCTCAGGAATCAGGAGTGCTTTTCTCACTGCTCAAGAGACCTTTCAGGTGCCTCAGTAAACAGCAGGAACCTGCTAGAACTGACTGGGGAGAAACAGCCAAACAAGGCAGGGAGCAACTCACCATAAATATCAGAGGATGCATCAGACTTCTCCATCTGAATGTGCTGGGTAATTTTCTGACAGATTTCTATTTCCTTGTACAGCTGAATAGAGGGGAAAAAAAACAAACACAAAAACATGTTACTGTGGGAGGACACATCCATTGTAATGGTTTGGAACAGATTTTTGGGTTTTAATTACAGGCAGAAGAGAGGGACTGTGGTCATTATTTACCAAACAGTTTCTCTCCACCTGTGTGAGAGGCATTAGCAGTGTCACTCAGCTCTGCTGTTAGAACACAGTTAGAGAGGAGGATGCAGTGTTTTCCCACCCCCACCACAAAACAGAGCATGCAGCTACTTCCCTCAGTCAATACCATCCTGAGAAACACAGCTTCTGTTCCTGTTTTCCTGATTTACAGGTAGCAATAGTTTAATGTTTTATATTATTTTAATGAAGACATTGCAGGAATTCAATTATTCAACAGCATTAAAATCACAAGGAGTGTGATTTTCTTTCTTAAATACAATTCTTCATTATCAGACTATGAGATTTGCTGTACCTCAGCCTGACATTTCACCTTTAACACCCTGATGTTTATTTGCACCAAGGAAAGCCCCCAAGTCTTTGAAATGGTCATTAACATCCTTCCTGGGAGACCCGCACAAATTCACACCTAGGCATCAGCCCAGAAGTCCCTCCATGCAGCTGCAAATCCCTCAGCCTTTCAGCACTGGAGTAACAAACCAGCCTTTGTCTTCGGAAAAAATCACAGCCTCAGGTGAAGGAGAGCCCACAGGTGAATATTAATTCTGTTTACGTGCTGCTGTGAGCGAGTAATAATGCAATTCGCAATAATTAACATTTTGAAACTCAGTGTTTGGACTGCAGTATTGACTATTCCTTTAGAAAAGAAGAGGAACTCGTTTGCAAAAGGTTTTCCTAATAAAAATGTAATTTTATCTCCTGCTTCTATCAGCACTGCAAAAATCAGTATTACAGAACAGCTACAGCCCCACAGAAGGAACTCCATGCTCTCCCCAAACAAGCCCACAGAGAGGAGCAAACACACCAAGTTTTCTGATTTAATATCCCCACACCAGACATCATCCTGCAGCACCCTTCTCTACCATTCCCTGCACAGTGCCACTGACAGAGTTTTGGGTTAATTACAGCTTTTCAGAATAAACAGTAAGTGATGACTGTCAATCCAACACCCTCTCAACACAAGACAAGTCCCCAAAGTCCTTCCAGACAACGACAGCTAAAAGCTGTCTCCTCTGAGCTTTAATTTTCCCCAACTCTATCACACTTCCCAGTCCTAGCACTCCTCTAGCACTTTCTCACTATTTTTTGTTGTTGTTGTTGTTGACAGCATTAATGGAAAATCCTAGAAGTCCTTTGCTAAACGAGCAAAACCTCCATAAGTAGCAAAGTTTTAAGTTTTATAAGTAAACCAGCCACCAATGAAAATGACCTTAAAAAGGTTTACAGCATGCCTGTGTAAAATCACAGAGTTAAAGCATGACACTAATCCTGTTTGGTCTTTTTTTTTTCTAATCTCTCATGGCAAAATTCCTTTGAAGTCTGCTTTTGAGATGAGCAAGATGAAAACAGCCAGCTGAGGCAATTAGGGAAGAATATTCTCACACATAACTCCAGACCTTCCTGACCTCAATCTTTACCTTGCCATCAGGAAAAGAAACCAAGAAACACCCCATAACTTGTGTATTTTCCCCCTCTTTAAAACTTAGACAGCGTCTTTAAAACCTCCATGGACAGCATGAACAGGAAAAGACAGCTTGGAGGGAAGTTAAGCTTCAGCGTACCTCAGAGTGACTTTCACACACTGCCTGTGGCCATCCCTCCTCCCTCCCCAAACACATCCAGGCACAAATGTGAGCTAAACACCAACACGGGATGAAAGGTTTGGAGAGATCCTTGTGCTGAAGGCCAATTTGCTATGCTCTGCAAAGCACCATAATTGCAAAGTGAAAAGCATAACTCTGCGTGCTGCAGAAGGTCAGATAAACACTAATTAACAGCGTCCTAGCCGTGTCACTTCATTAGCCCAGTGGGCAGCATTACCAGCTCATAGATCTCCTCCTCTGGCTTTGGCACGTAGAAGTGGATCTGGTTGTCCAGCAGGAACTTCAGGCGCAGGTAGTGAGCGGAGCAGTCCAGCTGGTGTGTCTGCAAGAGAAGGCAGCCTTCAGACACAGCAGACCCTCCCCACCACCTCTGCCTGAAAGCTGAGCAAGCCTGGTGCTCCTGCTCTCCCCAGGAATACGATCCGTGCACCCAGCGAGGCACTCTGCTGGCCGGGCATTCTGCTCCCTCCCAAGGCATTCCAGAAAGAAGCCCATGCTGGAACAGAAACCTCAGAGCACGCCTCTGGACAGAAGGGTACCTAACTAAATGCTCTGCTTAACAGAGCAGAATAGAGTTCTGCTGTTGTATGTTCTCTGTTTGGTTTCAGTTTTTTTAGCATCTTCATAATTTAGCACGTAAATATGATGTGGCAGATTTCAAGCAAGGTTAATAAACACCAAAAAAAAAAAATCGGTTTGTCTAAATTCCAAGCAGCTCAGGTTACACTGGCTGGAAGAAGCCAAGAGTTGCATCCTGGATTGCATCCCAGTGGAAACAGGTCACACCATTTTAATGAATTAGTTATAATTAGCTGAGGATACAGCATTTGGTCTGGGAGATGTTAACGACCTTTTCTCAGCATGATTAATAAGGTTGATTTAAGCAGAGGTTAATGCAGTGTGTAATCAAAACACATTACAAGTATGATAAACACAAAGGATATCATCCAGAAGTTACTTTCAAAGTTCCTAAACTGAATCTAATGAGAAACCCCGAAGTGATTCACAGATACAGGAGGCAAATTCTCCTCACTGTCACTTCTGAAATCCCACTATTAAAGGCTTTTATACCTCAGCCTTTTCATTTTACCCCAGCAAATTACCAAGGTTTCTCAGGCTGTGCTGAAAACAATGGCTTATCTGAAAATTCATGCAAAAGCATCCTTATTGCCTGTTTGTCCTGTTTTCTAAAGCCTGGCTTTTCCAGTTCCAGCACTGAGGTGATGAGCAATGTACCTGTGGAGAACATCCCACCCTGACCCTCCAGCAAACACACGGAGAACAGGAAACACTCTGGAAAGTCTGGATTAGCCCAGGAGTAAAAAAAGCTACCAACAATAAGAGAGAAAACCAAAACAGATCTACTGCTGCACTCTGCACAGTGCTCTGTTCAAATATGTCCAACCCAAAGATCAAATTATCCTTGGATGAAATGAAGTACCTGAAATGGAACAACCTCTGTAATGTAGGCAAATTCCCAGTTAATTAAATAATGACTGAAATCTACCAGGGGCCAAAAAAACCCAGCTGAATGTTGGAGATATCCTTGCTCCCCCACTTTTCTTTTCTGGACAGCTTCTTGCTTGCTTTTCTCACTGATTACTGCTGTTTTCAGTAGCTCTGTCTTTACAGACACACTCATACAAACACCTCACAAACTAGAGGGAAGCAGAATTGCCATTAAAGGTTCAGAAATGACACAGAGGAGTCCTGGGTCACTTTCTGGCCAGCTTAGTTAACTGTCCCTGGACACAGAAGTGTCTTAAACAAAAACACAGAGAGGAGACCTAAACCCACGGAGTGCATCCATCCCCCATGTCTCCAGGGAAAACTGGGACATGGCACTCAGTGCTCTGGGTGGGGACAAGGTGGGCACTGGGCACAGCCTGGACTCCATGGTCTCGTGGCTCTTTTCCAACCTGAAGCATTCTGTGATCCTGTGAAAAAGGAGCCTGGCAGCCTCCTCCCCTGCCCCCAGAGGATCTCCTCCCTGTGTCCTGTGCCCGAGGTGCTGTGCTCATGCTGCTGCTCAGGGTGGGTGACAGTCAGTGCCAGCTGTGCTGCCCGGCCCCACGCCACCACCAAGCCCAGGGCTGGCACAGAGACCCATCCACAGCCCACCAACGTCCTGCCCTTGTGCAAGAGACCCAAGGGAGGCTTTCCAGCCTGCCCAGGCAGGCAGAAATCACCACCTGTGACGGATTTATCCAGTCTGGGGCCTCAGGCAATGGGCAGAGCATCAGCTGAAGACAAAACTGGGTAAAACACTCGTATTTAGAGCCAAGCATTTCTTCCAACAAACCCCATCAGCCCATGTGGATGCCATCAATCCAGTACACTGTGATCCCATCCAGGTCAGGAATGAGAGTCCCAACCACAGTGCACCCCATTTAGCTAATTAACATCCTACAGCTGCCCCAGGGCTGTGTCTACCTCAAAATCTGACACTGGTTGAAGTGTTTCAAATAGGGCCATGATGTTCTACTGAAGTGAAAGGAAAAGGTCCCTGGAATGTGGACACAGCCAGGCTGCCCTAAAAGCCAAACCATTAACCCACTTTTTGTTGCTGGGAGCTGCATCCATACGTGGGAGGTGGGAGCAGAAACAGGGCAGCTTTAATATGAATATCCTTTCAAGACCACCCAAAATACCTTTCAGCCGTCCAAATCAGCTTCTTGGTTTATTTATTTCTCTCCTAATAACTCTGGCTAGGTCTGGACTAAATTAAGCAGCTAACCCCATTTAGAGCACAACCCGACAGCTTAACCAAGGTGCTCAACAAGAAGAATTTACAGCCGGGCTGGGATCCCATCCAAGAGGCTCCAAGTGCCACGGTGGGCTGGCACACAAGCCCAGCTCCTTTCTGGCCAAGGACAGGGCCTGGCACGTTCTCCCAGCTTGCTGGGGGAGACCTTTGTGGCAACACCACAGGAACGTGGCCATCCCACCGCTCCTGCGTGGCCCCAGCTCTCCCAGCAGGAGAACACCAGCCCAAAAGCAAGGTGAGCCCCCAGAGCATCAGGCTTAACTTCTCAGAGGCTCTGAGCACAAACCCAGAGACCTTGGGCTATCTGCTCCTTGCAGGTCCCTTTGAAAAATGTAAATGGCGAGGGGAGAAAAACACCCAAACCATTCTTGTCTCACTCTTTATGCAGTCAAAAGACAAAATGCCATGTAGTCATGTGGGCTTGTTTTTTACTGCTATTATCTCCATATTGGGATTTGGTGTTATTATCTCCACACTGGCTCTGCCTAAATCCGTATACAGAGTGTGATTTCCTCCTCCATTTTAAGACATACCATTATGCAAATGTTAGTAATGCATATACATTTGTTCACACTGAGCAGTGTCATCACAGAATCACAGGATGGTTAAGATTGGAAGGGACCAACTATTTCCCATCAGCCACAGAAAGCAATTTAATGCACATACACTGAGTTTTCCTGCCTTGCAAGTGATGTTGCTAGTTACATCTGAGGAGAAATCTTTGAGAAACCACTTTAAAAATGCTTTAAACACTCCTCCCACCAATCTTGAATCATAAAAGTGTCACAAAGCATCCTCCAAAGCCTAACTCGCTGTATAATAACAAGCAGCAATGTTAGCATAGGAACACATTTTCCACAATGACTTTAGTGCATTGAATGTTCTCCAACAGAAGAATCAAGCTCAGTTTAGCAGCACAGATTTAACCACATCTACAAACATGAGGAGGCTGATATGAAATGTAGAGCTTGAAATGTTTACTGTACCAGAACTTGACTGGTTCTCAGATGGCAGATGGCAAACTGATGTGAAATGATGTGGATCGGATATTAAAGGGGGGAAAATGAGCTGAATGCAAGAGACAGAAGAAAGAGATTGATTATTAAATGCTACAGAAAAAAGGCATCTCGACAGTGTTTTTCAGGCTGAAAACTCTTACAGAAAGGAAAGAAACAGATAGTAGCTCTTGAAAAAACACTCACCAACCTCCCCTTCTCCCTAAACACCCCCACCCAGTGAGAGACCAGACCCTCAGCAGGCACCTGCTGAAGCCACGGAGCTACTCCAGCCAAGGATTCAGTCCACCCAGTTAACCATCCTCCCCCAAAGGAGAATATCAATCCTAAAAATAAATCATTACTAATAATGTGTCACCCAGCTTCCCTGTTATGCCTCTCTCCAAAAATGTCATCTTTTGCTGAAGACAAAGCAGAGCTTTCACAAGCTGCAGCGCACCTGGCAGAGCGACGAGCGCACCGTACAATTACTGGAAACAAATGCCTTTCTCTCACCTTCCCTCTCTTCAGAAGCACATGCAACACGCTCTGAAAGTCCCCAAAGTTAAGCTCTCAACAGTAATAAATGTTTTCTTTCCTCCTGCTGTTGTTGTTGTACAAAGCAGGCTCACTTTTCAGAGCGGCACGTGACAGGAGTTGGGTCTCGCTCGCTCAGCAAACACACATTATGCAGCTGCCAGAGCTGAAAGCCTGTGTTTAATTCGTCAAAGTTTCCAACTCTTTAGAGATGTAACTCTTTTTAATGGCCCAACATCTCTGATACTTCATCCGGCAAAGAAATCCAGGTGGTTTTCCTTCCCCCCCACTCCAATGGGGATAAAAGCTTCCCCCTGTCCCCTCTGCCACCCACGCCAGGCTGGGTCTGGCTCTGCACTGCAGGCAGCAAACACAGGCACCTTCCCCCCTTCCTGGGGCTGCTGCTCTCCCAGTGCCAGCCCGAGGGCAGGGAAGGAGGGATGGCTCCTGGGAACAGGTCCCCTGGCTCCTGGGAAGGTCACCTCAGCTGCCTGGCTGCGGGAGGGATGCAGAGCTGGGGACACCAGGGGGGCTGCACCACCACAGTGTGGGGCACCCGGGGGCTGGGAGAGGGGAACCACACTCAGCTTGGTGCCACTGCAGGGACAGGGGATGGCTGGCCCTGGGAAAGGCAGCAGCAGGGGCACAGCCAGCGTGTGAAGGCACTTCCAGGCTCGTGCTCAGCAGCCAGAGGGGGGAAGGCAAACCCCAGCCTGCTGCCTGTCCCTGCAGTTAGCTCCAGCTGCAGGGAATTCTCTGCTGCGCTCCCGGCCTCAGCACCGCAGTGGAATTTGTGGTTTTCACCCAAGACACCACTGGTGTCCCAGTGCAGAGCGGTCCGAGCAGTGGCACACGAGGCTGCACTGATTTCCAGCTGCCCCAGGGCACGTTTACCTTGCAGATCATCTCCAGCACGTCCCTGGAGGTGTCCCCAGGCCGGATGACTGTCAGGGCAGGCTGGTTGTTGGGCAGGCAGAACCACGAGGGCGTGAAGTACTCGTGGACCCAAATGTCACAGTCGGGGTTGTGCTGGTGGACGCTGCTCAGGGCCACTTCTTTCTCCCTCTAAACAGACAAAATCCATCATGACAATGCCAGCCCAACACAGTTCCCTCTCCATCAGTAACTAGTGCATTACGTGCTGCACCAGAGCTCTTAGAGAGAAGATATTTCGCTCCTAAGCCCAGGTTGAAGGCTTGCCTGGACAGGAAGCTGCAGTTTTCCCTGTGCAGGGTGGAGTGTGCCTCCTGTGCCACCCACACAGCTACACTGCTGCAGTGTGCTTCTCCTGGGCTTTCACCCTATGGCTACTGGGAATGCTAGGAATGCAACAACAAAATAGTAGGGATGAAAGCAGACTTGAATTTAAAACCGAAATGTGCAGTGTTTCTGGGCAAACCACAACAAAACTGTCGTGGGTACTGCAGCTCCAATGCTTAGAAATGGCAAAATAGTAAATATTTGTATTTATTCTGAATTTACTGGCTGCAAACGTGGGGGAAGGAGGCAGCTGGAGAGCTGGGGTTTTACCTTGCCATCCGGGACTGTGTCATCAAAGATCCCTTCGAGAGATTTCTTCACTGAATCCACTCCTTCTCCAAACACCTGAGGAACACGAGAGGGGATCTGCTTTAAACACCAACGTGACTCCCTGTGCACAGCACATGCCACGGGCAGAACAGCCTGTCTCACATCCAACATTCAAACTGAGAAATACAAACAGCCATCTCCAAACACACTGCTTGCAGAAATGTCTCACTCTTGTAGAAATTTGGGATGGGGAAAACCTTCTGCAGGGCGGGTAAGTCACATCCAGCAGCCCCTCTAACCTCTTTCTGCTTGAGCCTGTCATCCAAAACAAGAGCAAGGAGGTGTTTTCAGCAGAGAGGGGATCCCAAACACCAGGTCAGCTCACTCCAGGTGCCATTCCCTAAATACAGGAAGCGCTGTCCTGTGTCCCCCACCCCCATTCCTCACCAGGACCACTCCTCCTGAGCACAGGTGTGGCTTTACTGACACAGACACACCTTTGCACCAGTCTGTCCAGACCTGGGCCCTCCAGCAAGGCTTGCAGGGCAGAGACCTGCGGGACCTCTCCAACAGTCCCTGCCTCTCTGCTGCAGATGCACTGCAGAAAAGGAAAATAGCAGCCTGATGGAAGAGAGGGTGAGAGGAAAAACAAACTGGTACAGGAAGATTAGAGGCCACTTCTGCTTGGAGGTCTGTCCTGACTTCCTTGGTGGAGCTGGACCAATTTTATCTCTCTTTCTGCTGCGTTTCTCCACAGTAAAAGTGGGAAATGAACACTTCCCCACCTCTGCCAACGCTGAGGACTCAGAAGGGCTCTGCTTCTGGCTGGATTTGAAATGACCCAGCTGCCAAAACGTACTCAGCAAACACTGAGGCACAAGGCAGTGTAACCCCCCTCTAATGAAACAGGAGCTGGTCACCCAGCACGAGCCAGAGAGCCAAAACCAACAGGATTCCATGCAGGAGGAATGACCAGACAGGAATATTTGCAGCATCCACCCCAAACCAGCACAGGGCTGCATCAGAAGGGCAGGCAGAGTTGGTGCTGCAGCAGAACCCAATAATGAGAACTGAAAAGTTCAGTTTTATAGCTCCACACCAGCACAGCTCTAGGATCAAGCTGCTGGGCTGTTAATTATTGCCTGGCTAAAATGAAGCAGGGACCAGGCAGGATGGAAAAGGTCTCTGCCTTTTGGGGATTTACAGCTGGTTGCTCCCAACAGGCAACACTTTGCACAAGCCAGGGAAATGTGTTCAGGCACTGCATTTAGACACTCTGCTGCTTCCTGAAAACCTGAAATTTTTACAACTCTTTCCACAATTACTTTCCTGTAACCTGGAACAGAATCCCTCTCCTTGCCTGTGCTGGGGAGGAGTGAGGAGGTCAGGAGCAGGGGAGGCAGCGTGAAGAATGCAATTATCTCCACCGAAAGGAATAACAAAAGTGGGGGGAAAAAACAGGTCTGAAAACACAGCACAGGCAGGATCCCAGCTCAGACAAGGGATTTGGGGCAAGTAAATACAAAGCAACGGCATCAGCACAAGGAACTGGGAATGTGCTCTTGGAGCTGCATTCCAGCCAAGCCCTGGGCTTCTGCTCAGCCTCTAAATATCAGGTGAACTTTCAGTGTCTCACTCCAAAGAGGCTCATCATCCTCTGCTGAGCAAAACAAACACCCACTGCTGCTGGAACAGACAGCACAAGAAATCACAGGGCACAGAACAGCGTGTGTCCCCAGCCTTCCTCCCCACAAGAAGCGAGAGAAGAGAAAGAAAGGCAGAGCCTACATTTCCTGCAATTAGATGAGGTATGGCTCTCAAAAAGTGAAAGCTGCAATTAGGGATGTTTGGAAAGAATAACAAGGAAGCACCTTCCTACCACACTGGAGCACGTTTTCTAGAGAAAGATCTGGGCAGTGACTGGGTGGAAACTGCACAACTTCTGCTTTTTTAAAAATCTGAAGCAGAACAGGGAGTGTCCCAACTAAATGCAAAGCTTCTTGTCACTTCAGAAAGTTTCCACCAAACTCAGCTACATTTAAATCATCGTACACTCATCATTTTAAATTAAAAATAACCAAACAAGTCTGGATTGCTTTGGGGTTTTTTCTCTCCAAAGTTGTGTCTGTTTTACACTGCTGCTTTGTTGCTCCTGAGATTAGGGAGGGCACCTGCAGGAAAAGCAGAAGGAGCAGAAATACAACAACAGAATTCAGCTAAAGAAAAGGGCAAATTCCAACCCTTTGGTAGGAGCTGCTGTGCCCTGATGTGCAGCTGCAGTCCCTGGTTTTGGAGGGGATGAGGAATGCCATGACTCTGCGCCGGTGCGAGCTGCGTTCAGCCCGCTACCAAACCACCCTGCGAAGAACACCTCCCCAAACTCTTACCTGGTTAATGCTGGGCCTCCCCTGCTTCTTCTTCGAGGTAGTGTCCAGCCCCCAGAGAGAAGAAAACCTGCTCCTCCTCTTGCTGGCAGACCTGGACATGGCCTGTGTCCTCCTCCTCACTCCCGACTCCCCGGTGCGCGCCGCCACCTGTCAATGGCACGCGGCTTCAGCCCCAGAGCTGCAGCCCCCAGCACACAGCCCTCCCCGCCGGGGGTCTGGGGGAAAAGGCAAATCCCATGGGAGCCCGGGCTCTCACTGCTGGGACAGCGGGGATGCTGCTGGGCTGCTGCCTTCTCACTGCAAATCAACTCATTTCTGCCAACACCCAGTGCCAAATATTGAAATGGACGGTACACACCACCTCCATCATTTTTGGTATTTAATGGGACATATTCTGAAGGAGCCTAACCATCATCAAGCAAAACCTCAACACCAGTGAAGGGTTTGGGGTTTTTCTTTTCTTTTTCTTTTCCTAGAAAGGTTTCAAAGCTGGACATGTGAAATGTGAGATTTCCAAACTTATCTGTTGCTTCCCAAAAACCCGGTCTTCCTCTTTGCTCTTTCCTGTGGAAACACTCTGGGCATCCTGATGCTGACTCAGGAGTGCAGCAAGGCCAGATAAAGGCTTGCAGGGAGCTCATGGCATTTAAGCCTGCACTTCCCTAAAGATAAGTGACATCTGAAGGATTGAGCAAGGCACAGGAAGGGGAAAAGTGAGCTGAAATGACCCTTCCCATCAGAGCAGTGTCAGCTGCTCTGCAACAAAATGCCCCGTGGCAACAAGAGACATTGCCTTGACTGAGCCCAGCTATCTGGGGAGCTCTGGAGGAGAGCAGTGGGACATCACTCAGGGCTGAAGAGGCCCAAAAAAACCATCTGTCAAAGCAGATTTCCCACGTGGAGGTGGCCTGGGGAGAGGAGCTCCTCTCCTGCCAAAAAGGGAGCGGTAGGGAATGGCAGGGCACAGACAGACAGACAGACCACCCTGCTGACTGCACCTCCTGGAACACCTCAGGGCTGCATTCCCAGAGCAGCAGAATGGCCCTGGGAACAGCCACATCCCTGAGGGATGCCCCCAGCTGAGGAACTGGAGGATGCAGCACGTCCAAAACGACAGTGGGATGGACAGAGGGAGCTGTGTGAGGAATGGGGGCTCTCCTTGGGAAACGGGGGGAAACCCAGCAAAAGGAGAACTTGAGCAGCACAGCAACACCTCCATGTCCACAGCCTGGACTGCGAGAGGCTCCACAGCTGTACCTGGACATTCATGCAGAGCCACCTGGGGCAACTCAGCACATCCTTGGATGAACGTACAGAGCAACACCTTCAGGGGACTTGGGCCATGGAATCACAGAATCATTTGGGATGGAGGAGACCTTAAAGCTCATCCCAGTCCACCCCTGCCATGGAAGGGACACGTTCCACTGTCCCAGGATGCTCCAAGCCCCGTCCACCCTGGCCTGGGACACTTCCAGGCATCCAGGGGCAGCTTCTCTGGTGAATTCCCTTCCTGAAACTTGAGTTAGGGCTCCTAACATGAGGCTGCATTTCCCCACGTTCCTGGGGGCAAAGGAGGACATGAGAGTTTGCTGAGAGGAGAAGAAAACACGTGTCTCTTCCAACACAACATTTTCCAAACATATTTTTTCCCTTGGCTCTCCAGAGACACCAGCATGAAGAGGCAGACTGTTTTTCAGGCTAACGCTCAGTGCTTTGCTTGATGTGAAAAAAAAAAAAAAAAAAAGCATAAATGCAAATTACAGCCCGCCACTTAAAAAATATAATAAATCCACCAGCAATTAGCAGGATGATGACGCTAATCTTTTCATATAGGAAAGAATAAAAACGCCCCTGACTGAATTACAGCTCTGCATTCAACTGAAGGCTACAGCTGACATCTACAAGACAACAGTGGAGCTCAGCTATTTCTGTGAACCTCCAGGAGTCCAAGCCGAGACTACAAGAACTTGATTCAAATTCGTTAAGACTCCACCACTTTGCAAAACATTTCTCTGTACTTTTAAGAGCTGGGCTGTTACAGTACTTAAATTTAAACAATCATTACTTTTAAGAGCTGGGCTGTTACAGTACTTAAATTTAAACAACCATTATTTGCCACACCATAGGCAGCACATTTGTGGAACATCAAGTGCTGATGACCAGAGACCAATTGGTCGGTAGTTGGAATAATTGGAATAAAGTCAGAAATGCACAAGAAGGTCTCAGCCAGCACATGCTGAGGGCTTCAGAATGGCTCCCACTGACTTCATGGGATGTGTGGATCACTCCCGAGTCTGCGGACACTTGAGATGAGCCTAGATCTGTTTCTGGTGGAAATCCCAAATGACACATCTAGGACAGACACAGCTCTTCCCCAAGGCCGTGGCAGCAAGCAGCTGCCCTGTGGCAGCAGCATCTCCTGCAGGCCAGCTGGCAGAGCCCTGCCCACTCACCAGGGCGTGGAAGGAGGACACGGAGAAGATGCCCAGGCGGCCCATGGCCACCTTGGTGGGGCGGCTGGCGAAGGCCAGCAGGCGCTTGGGGTTGGGCAGCTCCCCGCCCTGCAGGCTGGCCAGGTAACAGCGGTACCGGAACAGGTCCATCTGGAACTGCTCCAGGTTCTGCTCCCACACGAAGATCTGCAGGGGACAACAGGGGAGAACAGGCTGATAAGTGCATTGGAAAAACTCCCGGTGACACACCGGTGCTGATCTCACCCAACAAACCCCGACTGCTGATTTTCCCACATTCCCCTGCTGATTTTCCCCATTCCCAACCCCTCAAAGGATGCAAATAGTTAAAGAGTTTTGATTAGATGGAAAACAACTTTTTCTACGTTCGTGGCAAAAGTCTCCTCCTGGGACAGCTGCCTCTTTGATACAATGCTAATTAACAGGATTAAATTTTCATTTTTAATTTTCTTTGTATTTCCAGGATTCTCTGCTCAGCAGTCCCTTAAGAGGCTTCTTTCATGCATCAAGAGCATCTGAGGAACCACAAGAGCAAACCCCACCAAACTCCAGGCACAGGGCATCCTAAATCAGCAGCCACAGCAGCAGCAGCTTTGCTGTGAGCAACAACAGAGCTTGAAAAAGTGCCATGCACTGGGGATAATTAATCTGATCAGTGGAAGAGTGCTGTAATCAGCCTATGGAAGGACTTATTTAAATAATTCAAACAGCTTATAGGAAACAGTTTCAAAGCATGCAGACAAACTCAGTTACATAAAGAGAGACTGCTCTGCCCTCTCACTGGGACTGACAGCTTTGAGTCTTTAGCCTCTCCCTCCCTTTTCTTCCCCATTTCCCCTTCTCACGTGCTTCCAGAGGGTACAAATCCCTTTAGCTGAGCCCCAGCCACTTCCCCCCATGCTTTGATTACAGGCACACTTGGCAGCCGTGGTAGGAGAGCTCCAAATGAGGGAAGCAGCAGCCATATGTTAAGTTTCCCAAAATAAGGTGCTGCTGCAGCAGCGGGGGAGACATCTGCTCGAGGCTCTCTCCTCCTGAAACCCAGCCACGCTGTCCACTTGAAGGCAGCAGCAGCAGGCCCAGGGGAGCCAGGGATGCAGCCACGGGGTCAAGGCAGGCCCTTGTGACAAGCAGAAACCAGGCATGGCTTCTCCAGCCCAGCTGCCAGCAGAAGCAGCAGCCTCTGGCACAGTTAAAGCAGCAGCAGTGTTTGTTGGTGTGTGAACAGCTGCTCCCCAAGGCATCCTCCAGCCATGGCCTGGCAGCCTCCTGCTATCCAAATCTCCTGGAGGCCAGCAGAAGACAGCCCGTGCTGGACCTTAGTGGAGCAATGGTGCAGCTAAGGCAGCAGCACAGCTCCCCTGCTCCTCAGAGCTTGGATCAACCTCTCAAAGGCCTTAAACCCTCGCTAGGGACTTTTGAGCCTACCTGATCCAGTATGGTCTTCTTCTTCTTGGAGTCTGTCACGGAGGACAGCTGCATTTCCCCCATTTTCTTCATCTTCTCGTCCATGTCGATCTTCTGCTCCAGCTTTTTGATCTCAGTCTTGAGCAGCTTGAGCGTGTCCTCCTTGTGGTGCTGCCGTGCCACGGCGGTGGCGCAGGCCGAGTGGATCGCCGTGATCCAGTTCTCCAGCTCCGTCTGGCTGCACGTCTGCAAGGGGCACAGCAGCTCAGCATCCTCCTCCAAACCCGCTGCAGATTAAACTCCAAGGAGGTTCCTCTCCCTTTCATCTCGAGATTCAAAGCCTTAAATCCACTTATATATACCCCCATCATCCCTAAGCAGGACATTTTTAACTTGGCACCAAGCACTTGGAAGGACACCTCTATGTGTGCTTTGCAGCTGGGGGTGCTTCCCAGCAAGGCCTCAGCAATGACCTCCCTGGCCATCATTTCCAGCTTGGCATTTAACCGTGGTTTTAAACTGCAGCTCCTCAAGGCAGGGAATGCACCAGTGCTGTGCTCTTCCCAGGATGGAGAGCTTTTCTGGCATGCAGAGTTAACAGTAAATTAATGGCAGCAAACGTGACCATGAGTATCAGTGGCTTTACTGGGGTGCACAGACAAACAAGCTTTCTGTTTCTAAGGTCCCAAAGCACTCTGAAGACACTCCTGCTACCACTAAAGGCAGGCTCATCCTCGCTTCCACAGCTCTGCACTGTCCCTTCCCAAGCATGGATATGGCAATTTGGGAAAAGGGAACATTTCTCCTTGCTGGAAGTGCCCAAGGCCAGGCTGGACAGGCCTTGGAGCAACCTGGGACAGTGGAAGGTGTCCCTGCCATGGCAGGGTGTGGAACTGGATAATCTTTAATGTCCCTTCCAGCCCAAACCACTCCATGAGACACCAGGCTGGAGCACAGGACACCAGTACTACTTTCTGGAAGAGAACTACTCTGATTAGAGGCTTTTGACACAAAAAGAAGAATCTTTCCAGATTCTTCTTTCCAGATTTTTGAAATAAAAAGGCAACATTCTTAGGCCTTTTACTGAACTCCATTCCTTTTTACAGCAGGTCACGAAACAAACTTTGCAGCCAGCTCAGGGTTGCAGAGGACTTTGTGTGAGCGTCAGCCTGTGGCAATAATCACACTGGTATTTGGCTGGAAAAGCAGCAAGGTGCCAAACCACCTCGTTCTAATTAAACTTTCTGATGATGCCTGATCTATTAATAGACAGCCCAGCATGACTTCTCCGTTTGCTGGAGAAGATGAGGAAGGTCATCCTCGCTGAGGTCACAACCAGCAGCCAAGGATGAAGCTAAGGAGGGCTTCCCAGAGAGGCCCAGCTGGGCTTCACACTGCTGCTCCCCAAACTCTGGTGGCACACGTGTGTCCCAGAATGACACCACTTTCCTCACTCAGGCTAGAAATAGGATCTACTGCAGAAGGACTGACCTCCTCCTTCCCAAAGCCCTTGCCTCCAGCTGGCACTGCCCCAGGATGTAGCTGAGAGTGGCCAGGCTCTCTGCCCAGGCTGCAGCACCAGCGAGCTCCCACTGCACTGCTGAGGGCACTGGAACCCCTCTGCTGGAAACACAGGAATTATTTGCCATAACAGCAGACATTTTGCCCAGTCAGGTGCTGAAACCTCATCCCCAGCACAGAAGAGATCAGCACTGGACTTAGAATGAGCTTTGTTAATTCCTAGCAAAATCCTAACAGCGTTTGTTATCTTATTAAATTTCAAAGTATTATCTGCATACCATTAGATTCATTTTTCTTTTTGGATTCCTGGGAAGAGGGAGGGAAAAAAGGGCCTGGAGTGGATTTTACCCCCCTTGAGTTGAGCAGGGATGGGAATGGCTGCCCTTCCCGAGGGGAAGGACACACCACCAAGCTGCAAACACCTCGTGGTGCCACAAGCTGCTGTGAGCTGCTGGCACACGCGTGTGCCATGTGCCAGGCTTTGTGTGGGCACAGCCAGAGCTGCCTGAGCCACGTGGGAGGGATGGGATGTCTCTGGCTGCAGTGCCCAGGGTGTGTGGGATCCCCAGCAGCCCTGCTTTCCCTGGCACAGCACACAAACAGCCCCTGCAGGGCTGTGCCTCCCCTTGCCAACCCCTGCTGCAGCTCTGTGCTGGCTGTGGGGCACAGCAGCCACTGCTCAGAGCATCCCCTCCTCCTGCCCTGCTTCCCTGGCAGAAGGCACACATCACACAACGTTTCTGCCAACAGAAATTACTGGGTTTTGCTTGAAAAGGCTCCGTTTTGCTTCCTCCCTACAAACACCTACCTGAGGCACAAAGACACTGGGCTCTGGGGGAATAAGCTTTGGGGTGAGTCCGGGAGCCCACAGAAAAAACACAGAGGGATTCTTTGTAAGGACATGGAGGGACGGGACACAGGGAGTGGCTTCCCACTGCCAGAGGGATTTTGGGAAGGGATTCCTCCCTGTGAGGGTGGGCAGGCCCTGGCACAGGGTGCCCAGAGCAGCTGTGGCTGCCCCTGGATCCCTGGCAGTGCCCAAGGCCAGGCTGGACAGGGCTTGGATTAACCTGGGACAGTGGAAGGTGTCCCTGCCATGGCAGGGGTGGAACAAGGTGATCTTTAATGTCCCTTCCAACCCAGGCCACAAAAAAAGATGTTTTTTTTCTATCAGACACCCAATCCCTCCAGGAATCAGGAGGGCTTTTCTTTTTGCACCAGTTTGAGAACCCAGCCTTTTGCAAGGACAGCTGCAAGCACCTACAATACAGTATAAATTTAATTTTTTGCTCTGGAATAGAGGGGAGTGATGATGTGGGGACACATCCTGCCCCAGAGTAGCTTATGGCTTAAGAAGGCAAAAAACTCCATTGTTACTGGAGAGAGAAATAAAGGGATTCCTCCATGAAGAAAACTGAATCACAAGTGGAGGAAATGCACTCACCTCAGCACGTGCTGCCAACTTGTCCCACCCCACTTAGTGCCAACTTGACATAAGAAAGGGGATGACAACCTAAAAATCACTCAGGGAAGCAGTGGTTACCAAATGACAGAAATCTTTTCAAGTGAAACACATCAGCTAATCTATGGTCTTTGATGTAAATCCTGGGATTTATTTTTTCTAAATGTACCCAGCGAAATTGAGACATTTCTATTTCCTGATTAAAAACCAAAGCCTGCACTTCCAGTCTCCTCTGGGGCAGCAGCAAGGTGTGTGAACAAGGGGCAGCTGGATTTTGCAGCCCCTCCAGACATCCCCTTGCACTTCCAGCTGCTCCTGCTCTTGTCAGCCCCTCGAGCCTCCCTGCAAGGCCCTCCTTTGACACAGAGAGTGGCACAGCACTTTTAGTGCCCAGCTGCATGTCCTGTGGGGTGACTGGCTTGGTCTATGTGTTCCAATCATGCTGCCCAACCACTTTTTGCAGGGATGCAAGAGCATTTCTCCATTCTTTGCTCCAGCCATCTACACAAGGGGGGTCCAGCCAGTTATTAAAAAAGCAGATTTGACACCGATCACGTTCAGCTCACGTCCTTCACTAGTGCTGCCAAAGAAAACCCCAAACCTCCCGCAGCCAGCAGGATTTCCCACCCACCTCAGCCACAGCTAGATGCCCTCCTCGCTGGGAGGCAGAAAGAAACTTTGCAGAAGCCAACCTGGAAGAGGAAAGCGTCGCCAAGGGAGTTGCTGAGGCAGAAGACGAAGTCCTTCTTGGGGTGCTCGGGCACGGCCTGCACGATGCTGTTCTCCACCCAGACGGCGTGCTTGGGGATGCTGTTGTGGTCGATGCCAGACCTGCCGTCCGTCTCGTAGAAGAACAACGTGCAGCCTGCAGGAGACAGCGAGCAGCACCTTCAGAGCTCTGCTGGTTTTGGTGCCAAGCGGGCACGCCGTGAGCCCTGACCCCGGGCTGTTTGGTTCACCCTGAGCTTTGTTCTCTCTAGGACTGCCAACGCAGAAAGTCACGGGCAGTAAAATACACTCCCAGATGAGAAACGTCATAAGAAATCACCAATTTGGGGTTGTCCATGGCCACCCCACCACACAGGGTGAGGTCCTGGTCCCCAGGGGGTGACAGCCAGCTGGGAGCAGACAGGCCCCCGGGCACGGCCCAGCCTCTGCAGCTGCAGCTCCCCCAAGGCAAAGATCAAGCCATTTAATTACTGGATGCAGACAGCAACTGGAATTAAGTAGTTGGGATGAGCTGTGCTTGCTGAAAGGCAGATGGACAAAAAAACTTAGCTGGGGCCAGCAAACAACCTGCTCGGTGTTACAAAATGATCTTTACAATCCTCCCCGGGAAGGAAAGCAAAGTGAAGAGCAAGGGTGCAATTTGGGAGATCCCAAAAAGAAAAGGGTCTCCTCCTCTCCCACCTTCCCACACTGCCTCCAGTTGTTTACAGGCCGGCACATAGTTGCTGTGTCACTACTGGAAAGGGATGCTGTCACTGGAAAAGGATGCTCCAGCCTCCCAGAAAACAATTTGCAACCAAACAATGGCAGCTGTTCACTTCAAAGCCCGGTTAAACACTGCCAGTATCAAGGCACAGCAATCCAAGGAGTTAACACTCCACTTGAGCCAAAGCACTTCAAAACAACATCACTCCCCTGCTCATCCTTCCCCTTTATTCCCCCAGATGGCCCTTTGTTCGCCAGCTCCTCACAGCAAGACCTTCCTGCCCCCTCCCAGGAGACCAGGGCTGCCCCTCACTCCCTTCTCCTCTCCCCCTTCCCCAGCCCTCCAGCCACCCCAAGGAAGAGCTGGCTCCAAACTTTGCCGCTGGCTTTAAAATAGCGCTGCAAATTAAAACAAACAAGCGCTCTAGGAAGAGCTCTCTGCGGGGAGGGCAGGGTTTGACCACTCTGAGCCTTCTGGGTGAGCCCAGGCAGAGCAGGGGACACAGCTCTGCCTCTGCTGGCCCTGGCCACAGCACAGCAGAGGGAGGCTGGTCCCAAAGCTGGGGCTGCCTGTTTCCCTGCTGATGAAGCACATGAAGATGAGTTTATGAGCATGTGCCCAGCAGCAACTGCAACAATCCAGAGAGAGGAGGGTCTGTGGCCCAGGCAGCTGAGGAGGAGCAGGGCAGCTGGGTGCCCACCACGGGGTGGGTGACACGGCCAGAGCCACATGCCAGCCTCGGTGACCAACCACAGCTTCCTGTCCACCCCGCAAACGTGCTGCAACCCTGGGTGTTTGTACTCATGTGGCACCTCTCGGGGAAGGAGAGGTACAGGAGGGATGCAGAGCATGGCAGAGCCCCTGTGTGAACACCAGCCCCTGTCACCAACAGCCCCCCACCTTCGTGTGCCTGCAGGGGCACACAGGTACTCACCCAGCTGTCAGCAAGCCAGGGACACCTTCTCCAAAGGAACACCCAGGTGGTGCCAACAGGGCTCCCAGCAAGGCATGAACCCCACTGCTGTGCCTTGGGGTGCCTACACACGTGCCATCACTGAGCCCATCAGCAACCACCACGTAAAACCTCTGGAGAACAGCAGGGCCACTTCCCCATATTTCATGAAGTTCACAGCAGCTTCTCTTAGGAGTCCCTGGTTTGGCCACCCTATAGGACACACCCCTGCCTGCTCTCCTTGTACCTTTCAGTGACATCCAGAGTGCCCACCTGGGTATACCCCTGCCCACTTTCCAGAGCCCACCTGGGTACACTCTCCCTGTACCTCTCAGTGACACCCAGAGTGCCCACCTGGGTACACCCCTGCCTGCTCTCCCTGTACCTCTCAGTGACACCCAGAGTGCCCACCTGGACACCCCCCTGCCCATCTCCCCGTACCTTTCAGCGACACCCAGTAGTGCTTCCACTTCCTGCGCGTGGCCGACTCCACCTTCTTGTTCTTCTTGTGCACCAGGAAGTTTTTGACGGCCAGGGCGCCGGCCTTGCGCACGGTGCCCTGCGCGGCGCTCAGCAGGATGTCGGACTGCCCGGGGGAGCTGAGCGTGCCGCTGCTCTGCTCGTCGCTCAGGGCCGAGCCCGCCTCCTCCAGGTGCTCGCTGTTGGCCGTGCTCATCTCCAGCTCGCGGCGGAAGTTCTCGTAGACGCCCTGGCGCAGCCCGTCGCCCGCCGAGCTGCTGCCGCTGTCGCTGCCCACGAAGGCGCGGCCGGCGGGCGGCGAGTAGCTGGCCGTGGTGGCGTTGGAGCGCCGCGACAGCAGCTCCGTGTCCGTGGCAGCGCCCTCGATGCCGCTGTCCGTGAACTCGCTGCCCTCGCCCGCGTTGACGTCCTGCTTGGGAGAGAGACACGGGGTGAGGGGAGAGCTTGGCCAAGAGCCCGGGTGCACTGCGGTTTTTCACGCCTCCATTTTTGCTGGCGATGGAAATCCCTCGTCTCTTCTTGTCCCTAAGGCAAACAAGTGGAGGAAAAGGTGGAGTGGTGACAAACAGGTGCTGTCCACCTTGGAGAGAAGGGTGGAGGAAAAGGTGGGGGGTGACAGACAGGCACTGTCCACCTTGGAGAGAAGGTGGAGGAAAAGGTGGGGTGGTGACAGACAGGTACTGTCCACCTTGGAGAGAAGGGTGGAGGAAAAGGTGGGGTGGTGACAAACAGCTGCTGTCCACCTTGGAGAGAAGGTGGAGGAAAAGGTGGCATGGTGACAAACAGCTGCTGTTCACCTTGGAGAGAAGGGTGGAGGAAAAGGTAGGGTGGTGACAAACAGGCGCTGTCCACCTTGGAGAGAAGGGTGGAGGAAAAGGTGGGGTGGTGACAGACAGGTACTGTCCACCTTGGAGAGAAGGTGGAGGAAAAGGTGGCATGGTGACAAACAGGCGCTGTCCACCTTGGAGAGAAGGGTGAAGCTGCCCCATGCATTTCCCTCCAGTTTTCAACATTTAGCGTCTCACAGCTCCAGAGCTGTACTTCCCCAACTGCTGCAGGAGTCCTTGTGGGTCCACACTTTGCCTTTAGGGCATCTAAGGCAAGATTCCTTTCTCCTGGAGACAAACAGCTGGAGGAAAAGGTGAGGTGGAGGCAGAGCTTCCAGCACAGGTTAGGAAAGACCAGTCCCGCATGCACCACTCCAGGTGGTGCCTCCACGGCCTTGGCAATTTGGAATATAAGATGCAGCATCATCTGTTTACATTAAGCCAAGTTAACGGTGCTAAAGGTTTTGCAAAAGGAGAACATATGGCAGCAAAAACTGGCAGTGTCGAGAAAAGCAGTGCCCAACCTACGTGTTTTGAGGAGAAAACATTGATATTGTGCATTCACACCTACAGCTGAACACACATTTCAGACACCCCAAGGCTGACCTTTGAAAATTATGCAACCAAAAAGGTTCTTATTTTTCTTTTCCTCCTGACAGGTTAGTGTGGCTGAGATTATTTCTGTTCTCATCACAAACTGCAATGATGGGCCATGTGATGCTCCCCACCAAATCCCACAGACCCTTCCTGGTCCCCAAGAACTTGCAGTGGCAGGATCAGAAGAGACAAGAATACAGCCAATTGGAGCAAGACAGGAGAAAACCCCACTGAACTGGGGTTTTGAAGGCTGTGACTCAGCCTGGCCCCTGCTACAAAGCTCATCCTCCCAGGAGGATGCCCATCACCACTTCGGTATCTACAGGCATCTGTGGCAGATTTTAGAGGACAAATGAAGGCCAAACTCTGTGAATAGAAACAAATATTTTAGGTACTTGAGCAAAGTGGATGCAAAGAAGCGAGGAATATGGCCAACAGGAAGGAATTTCAACCTCAACCTCTCCTGCAAGAGCAGCTACTTCTTGATTCACAAGTTAAAAAAAAAAAAAAAAGGTCTTTGAGAAGAGGTAGCAGAATGGAGTATTTATTTTGAGAGAAAACAAGCTTCCAGATGTTGGTTCAAGCACCAGTTTTCTTTGTATCCAAGAGCAGCTCTGTGGAAACAAAGAAACCCTCCATCAGCTCAGTGTGAAACCATCCTCCTGCGGAGCAGGGGCTGCACGGAGAGCTCAGGGGCAGGGCAAGGGCTGACTAACTTTCCAGGCATTAATTTGCAGTGGATGGGCCCGCTCTTTACAAACACGGCTTCCCCAGGGACGCTCGGAGTCCAGCTGGAAGAAGCAGCACTTCCTTCCCCGCTCAGGAGCGCAGCCCCGCTGGCCCATCTGTGATTGATTTATTTATTTATTTATGTGATTTATGTGATTTAATGCAGCTCACGGTGACAGACGGGCTGCTCCGGCCAGGCCCTGCTGCTCCACGCGGGGATGGGCTGAGCAGGGTTCCTGGAAGGACAGCCCTGCCCCACCCAGAGCAGCGCTCACAGCCACACGTGCATCCTGCTCTTCCAACGTTTTGGGAAGCCAATTTCCTTCACACTGACAGGCAACGGGTTTAGACTGGATATTGGGAATGAGGTGGGTGGGCAGCCCCTGGCACAGGGTGCCCAGAGCAGCTGTGGCTGCCCCTGGATCCCTGGCAGTGCCAAGGCCAGGCTAGATGGGGCTTGGATTAACCTGGGACAGTGGGAGGTGTCCCTGCCATGGCAGGGGCGGCACGGGATGAACTTTAAGGTCCCTTCCACCCAAACAATCCTGTGATTCCATGATTCTATGCTCTACAAAAAGTACACAGTTAGTTCCAAAATCTTAGCCGATGTAACTTTTAGGAAGCATATCTCATGCTCTAGTTAAAATGAGTCGATTTAAGAAAACAAACAACTACTAGAACAGACCACCAACTTGAGAGAGACAGGATTTGTAAGGCTACAGCGTGTTCAGATGACCTTGGTGAGACACTGTTTTAACTGCCTCACTTTCCCTGTCAATAACTGGGGCTTATACTTTGTAACTAAAGTATGAGGATGTCAGCTAACAAAAAAAAAAAAGTAGTTTATAAAAAAACCTCAAAAGTGGAGAACTCAGAGTAAATATATTTGTTACACTTGCTCATAAGGTTACACTGTAGCACATTTTGCAAAGATCTCCACAATCTTTACCACAATGCAAGTGACAGGCTGGACTCAAAAGATGTTTTCAGTGTAATGCTACAGCCCTGCCCCTAATCTCCCTCTGCTCCCCTTTCCACTCCTCAACACCCCTTGTCAAAGCCCTGTGGGCAGCCCACTCAAGGCCTTCGGCAGGAGGAGGGTCTGAGCAGATAAGGTGGGAGCAGCTCAGAGCCTGGAGCTGCCAGCACCGCTCCGTCCGAGTTATCAAAGGAAATGTGGCTGGAGGGAGCCTCGTGTGCCCTGGGAGGAGATCAGGGCTGGGGGCAGCAGGGCTCAGGGCGTTCTCAGAGGGGTCAGCAGGGCTCAGGGCTGGGGGCAGCAGGGCTCAGGGCTGGGGGCAGCAGGGCTCAGGGCGTTCTCAGAGGTCTCTGCAGTGCCAGCTCACTCCCATCCTCGGGGAGGGAGAGCCCGGGAGCCTCGCAGCGCCGCACTCAACACGCTCGGCTCGGGGTTCTGCACAAAGCACAGAGCTTTAATGCTGTCATCCCACAGAAACCTGCTGGGCTGAGGGGGGAACAGTCCCAGGGCAGGAACAAACCACAGCAGGGGTTGCTGAGCACAGGCTCCACTCAAGATCGCCCTGTGGACAGCGGGGAGAAAGCACACGCAGGGCAGGGGCTGAGGAAGGGAACTGAAGGGGCCCTGGGACTCTGCTGGGATGGGGAGATGTGGGAGGCAGCAGCAGAGCTCCCACTGGGATCTGGGATCCCTGGCGGTGCCAAAGGGCTTGGAGGAACAGCACCATCCTGTCCCTGAGGTGCCCAGGGGCTATGAAAGGAGGCTCAGCTCACAGTCCTGAAGGGAAGGAGGAGGGAGAGGTGGGATGCCCAGTGCCACATCAGAGATCAGCCCTGGAACGAGGACCACAGCGGGGCTGAATGGGGCCATTGTCACCAACAGGGCCACGTGCCAGGGCAGCCCTAGGAGCATCCCAGTGCAACCAAGTGGAATGAGTTATCACAGCCCCATCAAGGGCAGAGAGCAACTGAACTGCTGAACCAAGTGGGTAAAGTGCTGCTGCAAGCATTAGCTACCCACTTAAATACAGGGCTGTTTCTTCACACCAACACGGGGTTTCAGGCAAAACAAGCAAAACAAGGCAGTGGGGAATAGAGCTGTAATGCAAAAGTTACATCGGGCTAATGTACCTGGTGCTGTAGCTTTGGCATACGCTCACGTGGTACTCATACCTCTGCAAGTCTGCTGCAGCCTTATCTGGTAAATAATTTTAGCTAAATTTAAAAGATAAACAGAAAAAAAAACCAAACTCTTTGCTTCAGGAAAAAAATAAAGTCTACATTCAGCTAGCAAAAATCAGGGGAGGAGCTCTGGGACAGGTTCCAAGTGTCCCCATGTTGAACATACCTGGTACTGGCTCTGCTGGAAGAAACCACAGGATGGGACAAGCCTTGCCCAGCTCTGGCTCATGACTGGGCACACTCCGAGCGCCTGCAGGGGCTGCACTTCCCACCAGCAGCCCTGCCACAGACACTGCCAGGCCTGGCTGAATCACCCTCTCCTGCCCCACCAACAGCACTGATTCATGGGCACTTGGGGCTGCTTTAGCAGGAAAAATCTTACTTCCATAAATATAAACAGTTCCTCATGGCTAAAACTCCTTTCTAAATGAACCATTACATTAAAAGTACAGCTGAGTGGGGGTTTGCCTGGGAAGGGGCTCCCTCCAAGCCAATGCATACCCTTTGTTCCCTGTCCTGTTGAGCAAGAGAGCAATCAGATGCTCACACTCAGCAAGAGCGATTGCACACAACCTGTCTGGCTGCTCCTGAGGCAAGCACCACACAATACATTTCAAATGGGCTAGCAAGCCTGATGGTTTGCATGCTTTTATCTGACTGGTGTCCCTTTGAAGCTCCTGTGTGGAGAAAGATTGGCCTGATAAGTGTTTTTCCTTTCTTTTCAGGACTGACTCTGCCATCATTTGACGGTCAAGGTATGGCTTGCTGCAAATCCAGATTGAATCCTTTCTCCACAGTCACGTTGAAAAGCAAAAATAAATCTAAAGTGCAACTGAAACCTGAGTGGGAGAAATGGTTTGATTCCTGCTTCTGCACTCACTGCACTGGGGCAGCAGCTCTTGAGATGTCTGAAAGAGTCAAAATTTTTAAAAAATTAAATTTAGAAAAAACAAAATAAACAAATCCCTCCATGTGCCATTAAAAGCTGCTCAGGTTAGTTTAATAAGCCAGCAGGTTTGGGTCATGGCTCTCTGAAATCAAATTTGCCCCTGACAAAAAGGGACTAACCCACACCTCCAGACACTTCTCCTGGCAA